TTCTCCTTCGCTATGGTGATTTATAACGCAACGAATTGGACCTATATAAAGAATAGACAAAATGACATGATTTTCAATTAATAGCTATTTGGCGTAAAAATCCTTGTTCTGTAAGGAGTTATTTTTGGCTTGAATAGTTTCATGGTAACGCCTGTATAATGTCGAGCGATGTATATTTGTTTCCTACCAGGAACTCCAGTTCCTTCAAGTGTATACAGACGAACCAAACAATCTGCATTGTCAAGCTTGGTATTGGGTTGTTGCGAATTTATTGAAGTTAGAAATACAGACTGTCGGATTTCTACCCGGTGGTCTTTAGGTATTATTTTTTCCACCAGGAATGAAAGTATTAGGCTTACTCCTGTTTTGAATAATCTTTAAATAGAACAATACAACTGTCCATAGTTTACTGATTCTTGATAGTTCTACAACTGATGTTAATCAGATATGCAAACTATTTTAAAATGTAATTGAGCCTGTTAGTTAAGTAGGTTTATGTGGACAGCTATGAGACCCATGACTATTACCTCTATACATAATAATTGAAAATGGAATAAGATTACGACTCTATCGCTTTATATTGTTATAACGTGTGACTGTGTGCGTGCCCTGTTGACATAAATGAACGTGCTGATCCCCGCCAATCAGAGAGGAGCGAATTATCGATCAAAACTATGGTACACAAAAGCCGGATGAAGAGTCTTGAGTACTTATCAGTCAATGCTATCTGCTTAGCCAAGCCAGTTAAGTACAGAACACCAATAACAGCCTCTGCAATATGAATCATTATTCTCAAACATACTGGGTTTATATACCAATCAAACTGACCATATCGTACCATAAAATAGAAAATAACATTGGTACAAGACTTGGTCAAATGTGGCTGTGAATAGGGGGAACAGTAATTAATGGACTGGAGATAATACAAGAATGGTAAATCGTATAATAATAGTAAAAACTGAAGAGCAGTAAATAATATTTTAATCTAAATTTTAGACGACCTATTAGGATCTAATTGGTCAATCAATAATAACTTCAGGCAATGACTGGTAGACTTCAGGTTTCAAATCAGTCACTATGAAGCGGATGTATTAATGTTGTATTATACTTTAAGTTTTCAAAATTATATAATTAATGAGAAGGGGTTTTGTGGAGATTTCAGTATTTTCATAATTGAAATCATGAGTCAAATGAAGCTAGACCACCATGGAAAACCTGGAAGCACTGGATGGACGTTTCGTCCTATTGTGGGACTCCTCAGTAGTGCTCATCCAGACTGGTAGGTCCTGGGTTGGAATCTCCCGCGGCAGGATCGTGAATGCGCACTGATGAGGAGTCTTACAAAAGGACGAAACGGCTATCCAGTGCTTCGAGGTTTTCCATGGTGGTCTAGCTTCAATGGACTCATGATTTCAACCGTGAAAATATAATTAATGCTTATAATTGATTATTCCGCTTTAATAGTTGAGATCATGAATCGATTGAAGCTAGACCACCATGGAAACCCTGCAAGCACTGGACGGCCATTTCGTTCTATTGTGGGACTACTCAGCAGTGCGCATCCACGATCCCGCCTCGTGAGATTCCAACCGGGTACCTATAAGTTTTGTGCTCAAGCGCCTAACCACTAGACTACTGAGCCGGCCGGTATCTAGCTCTGTTATTGTCTAACTTCAATTCAGTTTTTCTTCATTTTGTCAGATTGTTTTCTATCATTCTTATATTTGATCTTTCATTACCATTGTGGGTAAATTTTCTATCTCTTTCTATATATTATTTCTCCTAATCAATTTTATTATGTCGATGCCAATCCATTTAGGACGACACATATTATTTGTCTTTAACCTTGTATTGTTTATGCCTGTCTATCTATCTATCTATCTATCCGTCTATCTGTCTATCTATCTATCTTTCTATCCACTTATTCATCTATCTATTCGTCTTATAATATCGACTATGATTATAAGCTTAAAATGAATCTAGATTCAATGAAAGAAAAGGATATTCAATAGTGTATCCTTGACACAAAACATCAATCTTCTGTTGTTGTTTTTTTCGGAGGGGGGGGGGAGGGAATGATTTAATGAAGTTGTATTTGTTATTTGAATGAAGTATTACATATATGAAGTCATGGATATATAGGGAGAAACATTTTGAAGATAAACTTTATCATGCCTTTATAGAAACTGATTGACAGAATATGATTTTTACTTATGTAAAGGAAATGATTATGTCACATATGTATGTTACTTTATGTACATCAAAAAATTGATTGAACAAAGATAAACTGTTGTTGTTTAAGGTTTGAAATATAAGAGGGTACTGATCCTGTTTTGTGATTTTCGGGTTACCTGATCTGTTAAGGACGATGGGATAGTGTATGATGGTATTGTTGTGTGTTAGGTTCAAAGGGGGATTGTATGCTATATGCATGTAAATCTGCCACGTTATTGTTCCTGTGACTTCAAATGCTCTCACATGGCTACGTGCGTACAACCACTACGAGAGAGGTCCGACTCACTGCCTTCACGTGGCGGGAGTGTTGTTTACCAAATTGAGAGGATGAAAAGCGAATGTCCGGAGCTTTAATCGGGTTGACGGACACGGAGGGTCTACTTTGGGAGTTGGAAAACCTTGATTCCAAACTAATGGTGTATATGGGCTCCAGGATTCTGAAAGAACAAATGGTGTATGCACATTCACGATCCTGCCTCTGGGATTCGAACCCAGAACTTTCGGTCTTGCTCACCTCTGAGGAGTCCCGTACTAGGGCAAAGAGGCCATCCAGTGCTTCCAGGATTTCCATGGTAGTTTACCTTTAATCGACTCATTAATTCACCTATTGAATTACTACAATCTCCATAAAACCCCCCTTTCTGACAATAATTATCGGATAATTTATACGAATTTTGGTCAATATTAAAACGAATAGTTTGACAGAAATTGGGTGCGAAGTATAGAGGAGTCATTATTTATGAAATAATCTCAGTGATTGGGATTTAAATCATTTCAACGTTTTGTCCAGAAAACACGTCTAGACGTCTTCATGGTAGTAATGAAAATCATAATTATCAAAGAATGCATAATGTTTAACAATCAAATCAAATCTATATTGTGCTTATCCTATCATATTTAGGCTGAAGGAACACAAGCAACATTTGAAAAATGCTTCCAAATCCTCGAATGATCTGAAGAAACTTGAGAATATGTTTGCGATAGCGTTACACGGGTTAGAAACAAGGTAGAAGATCAATTTCTAAGGGATCAGAATACTTTAGAAAGGGTTTGACATACATAAATAAAGATTGATAGTAGAAGTGCAGTATATATGGTCTAATACGAAGTCTGAACAAAAAGGATGGTAATTAACTAGCAACTACTTGGCAAATATTCGTTAGCAAGTAATTGAACCAATTCTCTATTCAACCTGTTTAATTCATATGCATCCTACTTACCAAAGTCAACATCAGAATATGATTGGATAAGCACAGTATAGATTTGATTTGATTGTTAAACGCTATATATTTCTTTAATAAATTTGTTTCTTATCGTGAAGACGTCCAGACAAATTTTCTGGACGAAACACTGGAATTATTTCAATTCCAGTAATTGACATTTTTTGAAATGTAATTTTCACAAATAATCGTAGAATAAAGGAATTTGAACAGATTTATGCTACTGCACCAATTCTGGATTGGTCGAGGTTAGATATTAACACCATCGGATGTCGGCTCAGGGGACTAGAGGTCAAGTGCTCTGGCGCAGGGCTGGTAGGTCATGGGTTCGAGTCTCGTGAGGCGGGATCGTGGATGCGCACTGTTATGGAGTCCCACAACAGGACGAAACGGACATCCAGTGCTTTTAGGTTTACCATGGCGGTCTAGCTTTAATTGACTCATGAACTCAACTATATAAAATTCTGGAATTATTACTTTTTTCGACCTCTCTGTGTTTATAAAGAATTCTCTATTCACTTATTATGTGTCCGTCGTTTCACTTTTAATGGGTTTGATATGAAATCGAATGGTTGTATCTATTATTCTGAAGTGGTGGTTTGGTTTGCCTAAAATGATAACCCAATCGAACTATCTTTGCTCAAACACTTATTCCTTCAAGTTCTGACATATCAGAAAGGTTAAATAGGAAACAATAAGAATTAGAACAACAACATAATGTCTAAGGATAAAATCACACTACCAAATGTACTTGCACATGATGACAGTTAGGTGTTTTCCTCACACAATCAAGTTCTTCACAAATGCTAACTTCTCACAACGAGAGTGGAAGGGTGTTCGATGTGATCAACTCTCATACAACCGGTGCTTCTTATTTCTAATAGTGTAAGGAAATGTAAGATTTTTAGGTGAATCCAATGAAATATCTTCTGATTGTTTAATAGTTGGAAACCTTGAGGTGTTATGGCTTTAAACCAATCCCAGTGATACAATTACACTCATTTGTTTTCCTCCCTCAAGCATTCAGTAATTATTTAACTATTCGAGGTCTCTTTAGTTATTCTGATGTTTATTCTCTCTGCTTCAGTTTGAATATCTGGGCAGTAACACATCCCTTCAGTTGGAAGTCATTCTGCTTTCTATAGGTGCTATATACTACTTATATCTATTAGTATAAGCAACATACACTACACCAGTATATGTCACAGTTGAATGAAGAAGTTTACAGAGACTGTACAGTTTTAAGATATCTTTTTTCATAGACTGCAAAGTAACAAGTAGTGAATAGCTGTTTCTTCCGTACATGAAATCTTCAGCATCACATACTCATAACCTCTCCATAGATCGATTCTAGAAAACATTTTAGATTACCGTACAAATATGTTACATACTTTAGATCGTTGAATTATCATCCAGTGTCATATTATTACTATCCATCAGTTTGTCAACTGAAGTTAGTTTTCAATATAACGTTTTCACTTTCAAATATGTAATTAAGTAGTATGATAGTTTGTAAATAATTTATTTTCTTTAATTCTTTTTCAGTTTATTTTTCGAATTTGATTTGAAGGATTATACTATTGATCAATGTGCATTGAATATCAATCGATGTGGAGCAACAACTCGAGTAAGTTTAGAAAATTTAATTCTTTCATATTGTTGCTTAAAGTGATAATATGAATTTGTATTCAGTTAGATAATCAGCTACAATGTAGAACCAGGCGCATATATGCATCGGTCCAAGTTGTCATACCTCATTAGCACAACAAGATCAACACTAAATTCATAGAAGTAGTTACTTTATTATTAGTGATGTATAAGAGAAAGATTGTATGTAAGGATTTAGTACAAGGAGAAAGAAAGATATGAAGCAATTTAATTCCCACGGCTTAAGGGAATACGGAGAGTGTATACACCTACACCATTGTGATAGATTCTGAGCCATGTTACACAGAGTCTCAATCTACTGGTTACAATCGTCGCCCGGACGCCAACCACATAGTCTACATCTAAAAAACATGACTTATATCAGAAGTTAGTGACTTCAAGTACTGATGCCACGTTTTGGTTTGACCGCCCCTAACTCTTTTTCAACCGTAGAAATTATTCAACAAAATGAGTCTACTACCTTACAATGGATTGCATCCAGGAATTTCGGATTTCATTTCGACTTCGAACTTATAAAATGAGTTTGGAGTTATGGGTTTGATTGACTAAATTTGATAGATTTACAATATAGCATTATCAATATTCAGGATCATATGTATTATCTATCTCACTTCTGATGTGGATAAGCTTCGCTACCATGGATATTCTCCAGAATCATTTCTAAAGTCTGTTCCTCATCTTAAAGGCATCTAGATATCTCAAAGAAAATGATCTGAATACGAACGGGGAGATCTTGATTCTTTCAAGAGATCTGTGAGCAGTTACAACTTCCTAGTTTCCTACATCGTGGAATGATCCTCCTTCTTCACAAACCTGAAAACCAAAGTCGATCAGTAGTGGTCATCCAGACATGAATGTGTGAATTCAGAGTCGGTCACACACACTTGATTTGTGAGTAGTTGTAGATGTGTCAACTTTGCATTTTTAAGGCCTTAATACTGGTGATGGGAATCCAGAGGTTAATGTGAGATGTGGAATTTCGAGAGTTGATCACATCGAACACCCTTCCACTCTCGTTGTGAGAAGTTAGCATTTGTGAAGAACTTGATTGTGTGAGGAAAACACCTAACTGTCATCATGTGCAAGTACATTTGGTAGTGTGATTTTATCCTTAGACATTATGTTGTTGTTCTAATTCTTATTGTTTCCTATTTAACCTTTCTGATATGTCAGAACTTGAAGGAATAAGTGTTTGAGCAAAGATAGTTCGATTGGGTTACCATTTTAAGCAAAACACACCACCACATTAGTGTGGTAGTTACACGGTAGTAGGATATATTCATTTATTTCTTGGAACAAGGATTTTTGTAATGTTATCACACTAGACTTTCAATGAATCCTTAGAACTAGTAGAGATTCAAGATAATGGCTCTCTCTCTTTTACGTTATCATCAATGTTTCGGAAGTAGTTAATTGACAAACCACCACTAACTGTAGCTCACCATTTTTTCTACACAATAAGACTGTTATAATATTTGAACGGTTAAAGAAAATATAGCCTATAAATGGTAGTTGTTTCCCCTTCACTGGATGATTAAGTTAAGAATCTTTTGTTGTCGTTGTGGACAATATCGTCCTTGCCAAGTTCATATAGAATCAATAGAATCAATGTCTAATCACTCCTTACCGGTGACTTTGTTTATGAGAGATTACTTCACCTACTGTATATACTGATCAATATCATGTTTGAATTCATTTAGTATTGCTTGTTTGAATCTTCCCACCGATTTGTTAGGACTGCAACTGGTCAGTCTCTAGTTGGCATATGTGCATACTGTGGGTATTGTCTCGATATAGCCTTAATTCACAAGCATGGTAAGCAGAGATGGAGGTTCCTCATACTAAAGTTTAACGTGTTTATTACTTTATGGGACTCAATATCGGGGGCATAGTCTGTTTAGTATTGAGTGATTGTAAGCAATTAGTCATTTCATTTTTAAAGCTGTATAGATATACAAAGCTTCTAAGTGTGATAACGTACCGTCATAGTGGTTTTATTTAAAAGCCATGTTAATAAATTATCACTTTGAAAGGTTAAAATTCAGGATATGCAGATTTTGCTGTGAGCTTATGATCTTTAGATCACCGAGTCTAATGGTTATCAAGCTATATAGAGAACTGGTAGAAGTTTAATATTTAGATCAATGGTGGAGAAGATTTGTAGCTCAAGTGGGTGATTTTGATGTAGGTTTGTTCTCTGAGCTGGATGGTTTGGTTGTTGAGCAAACCAATAGGAGATACAACCAAAACAAAGAAATAAACAATGACAGATTTAAGGTCAATAAGAACTAATCAACATGAAGGTGCACAGGACAAGCTGTGAGTCACATGTGGAGAAATTCAAACACTTCACTTCTACCCGAAGTTTGTGCTGATGATGTCGTTCACAAGGACGATGAAAGCTCTATGACCAAACCATCCAGCTCAGAGAACAAACCTACATCAAAATTTAGATTAATAAACACCAACTCAGTGGTATAACTGAAATACACTTGCTGAAAGGCGTAAATGGTTTGAGATGGATCCTCACAGGAATATAGGTGTTAGCCACTAAGTAATATGATCCTATGATGAATTGTTTGTTCAATACATCCTGGTTCACACTGATTATTTAATAGTAAGCTAAAACCGGTTCATAGTATCGACTGTTTTCAAATAGATGATTCTCTATATTTTCATAGTTGAAAGCGTGAGTCAACTGAAGCTAGACCACCTTCGAAAACCTAGAACCATTGGACGGCCGTTTCGTCCTATTATGGGACTTCTCAGCAGTGCGCATCCACTATCCCGCACTCGCGAGATTCCAACCCAGGACCTACCAGTCTCGCACCAGAGCATTTAACCGATAGACCACTTAGCCGGCATCCAGCTGTTTAATGTCTAACTTCAACCGATCCACGAAGTTGAGCAACCGTTCACCAATTGTCTTCAGTGAGTTGATATTTCACAACAGAGGAGGTTTGAACTCCACTGGTTACTGATTCTCACTAGAACTCCTGGATTTACCTCTCGAAGTCAGTCACTAGTGAGCATATGATTCTTTACCAAATTCTCATAGCAACTAACTATATTTAAACTGATAATATTAGTCAATCGATTTATCGTTCTACTTATTTATCTCTTTTTACAGTGTGTATACAAAAAATATAATCCATATGCATTCAGTATGGACAATTATATGTGTGAATGTTCTCCAGGATATTATACTGACAATATAGAAAATGTAAGTCAATCAATAATTTTTAGCTAAGCTAATTATTCTGTATTGTAATTCACTATCAGTATTACTGCAGTTTTTAATGCAGAGAGGGGGCAATAGATCATTTTCGTTGAGGGATTCAAAGTATACCACTAAAAAAAGGAATATTACCAGTGATGATTTCAAGAATTCTTTATAAATTAAAAAAAATCAAATGCTGATAAAATCCCATCTAATAAAGGTGTACCAGATACATATGCGCCTCACAAATCTCATTTGATTTGTGTTAGGGTTATGATACTGCCCAGGTGCCCAAATTGAAGCAGGTGGTTTTCTGAGGGGGCCACACCCGGAGCCTTTGACCTAAAGATCTGATCCACTAGGCAGTGGAGCATCGTAAAGAGATGCAGTTCCATGGTAGTCGGTGACCAACAATTGATTCATACGCCAATTGTTCCTTCAGGATACTGGAGCCCATGTGTACCATTGGTTTGGAATCAGGGTTTTCTAACTCCCCTATATGGTCTTTCCGTGTCCACCAACCAGGTTTAAGCGTTGGACATTCGCTTTTCGTCCTCTCACTTTCGTAACCAACACCCCCGCTAAGAGAACAGATTGAGTAGGACTTCTCTTGCAGAGTCTGTATACGCGTGTCCATGTGAGAGCATTTGGAGAGAAAGAGATTTGACTCTTCCCACTTTCAGCAGTATCTGGGCATTTGGGGGCAAAAAGAGAGAGAACAATAAGTTGAGTAGAATAGCATGAATTCATTTTGTTTCATTAGATCTTCATCAATAGCTACTTATAATCTGTGATATTTTAAAATTAAAATTTCAAATGAAGCATAGCATATTTAATTTCTTATTTGTAAACTCTGATTACTACCCTATCAGTACTTAAGAAACTTATTTTACATTTTAAATATCATAGTAACATTTAATTCATTCTGATCTTTGTGTATACACTTTCTGTCTTCCCTTAAACCGTGAAATTGAAAATGCTTCATATCTTTCTTTCTTCCTGTACTATATCCTTATGTACAATCTTTCCTTTATAAATTACCACCATCGAGTCGCTTGTGGAGAAATCCGAATACTTAACTTCTACCTGAATTTTGTGCTAATGATGTTGTTCAGTCAGTCAATTACAACATAGGATCAGGCACATATATGCATCAGTCTAAGTTGCCATACCTCATTAGCACAACAAGATGAACATCAAATTCGACCTCGATCTTGATTGGCTATTGTTAACTTTCAACCTATCATTGTCTACTTCTTTATTTCGATTGTATCTCCTATTGATTTGATTCTTGATCCTATATTTGTCCATAACTTTTCTCACTGGTTGATAGATTTGGTCGATTTCAATAGGTTTGTTGATTGATCTGAGTGTCAAGTTTCTAAAAATCCCCTAATGTTCTAAGTATTCCCTCTAGATAACTGTACGTTGAATTAAAATCCGGTTTTCTGTTGACAACAGTCAGATAATAATTTTGATAGTTGAGGTCATAAGTCAATTGAAGTTAGATCACCGTGGAAAACCTGGAATCACTGAACGGCTGTTTCATTCTATCGTGAAACTCCTTAACAGTGCGCATTCACGATCCCGCCTCACGAGATTCGAACCTAGATGTTTTCTAAAGTCTTATGACTATAGAAACTAAATAAAGAAATTTCTATATTTTTTTTAAAAGACTTCTTATGTCAACCGTATTATTTAACATTCTAAGATTGAATGTTACATTACCTCCTTCCACACACACATACACACACACACACACTTCCCTTCGATCACTGATAAACTAATTACAACAGATCGTCATCATTACCCAACATCATCATGATTCGATTAGCTTGATAAATTTAACTTCTATATCGACTAGTTATAAATGATTGATTACTTTTCTTTAAGGCCAATAAATGGGATATAATTCTGATTGGTTCATTTTAATAATATGAACTTAAAAATCCCTAGGTTACTTTTTTTTTTTTTAAAATATTTTGATTAGTAAACGATAATCAGGGGAAAGGCAGAAATAGGGGGTTAGAGATTGAAATATTGGTAATATCTAAGCTAATTCTTTTACTACTCAACCATACAACCATAAATATAGATAGATGAACAGAGTTTTGTTTTGTTATTTTAATTTAAAGTAATCCTATATTGATTATTTTTTCAGGGTTTCTGTTAATCGTTAAAAGGGATAACTGAGGAAGGAGGATGGAAAAAATGAAGACTATTTGAACTGATTTCTTTTGATAAAAAAATTTTTTAAAAAAAATCCACCGAATCCCTTCTGATTATGATCATGAGCTCATTAATGACAGGCTCCATGAGGTATTTTCTGGAGTTCTAGTGAGAAGCAGTAACCAGTGGAGTTCAAACCACCTCTGTTGGGAGTTATCAACTCACTGATGACATTGGTGAATGGTTGCTCAATTTCCTGGATTGGTTGAAGTTAGATATTAACACCGTTGGATGTCGGCCGACTTAGTGGTCTGTCGGTTAAGTGCTCTGGTGCGAGACAGGTAGATCCTGGGTTGGAATCTCGCGAGTGCGGGATAGTGGATGCGCACTGCTGAGAAGTCCCATAATAGGACGAAACGGCCGTCCAATGCTTCTAGGTTTTCCATAGTGGTCTAGCTTCAACTGACTCATGATCTCAACTCTATAAAATACTAAAATCTCCACCAAACCCATTCTGATATATTTATTAGTTCAATTAATGTTATAGTGTAGGTTACTATGTCAAGCTCACATAACTCATTCTAACTTCCGGATAAGCCAATTTATCCATTCTTCTTAAATCACATTTTGACCTTGTTAAGTACTCAATTACCAACCTTGACTGTTTTAATGTAAGCGTAATTGTGTACATTTTTTTATTGTACTCATCACACATGTATAACTTATTTTCATTTGACTATAAATACCAATTAATGCTTGATTAAATTAAGTTGGCACACACTCTATCTCCAATATTCTTTGCTCTTCCCTCCTTGTTTCGTCTCTTTGATTACCTGTTCAAATCAATAACGAGTACATGAATTATACATATTCAGAATTCATTTTTGTATTTGATTTATTTGATTCTGTTCTATTCACTAATGCGTATTAAGTTGATAATTATATACAAGGATTGGTGACATGTTTACTTTGATAACAATCATTCATATGATTTAACTGAAGTCAAATATACGTGGTCAGTAAAATGTTGCAAATTTTGTTATTAACCATGAAATTAGATTTCATGTGAACTTTTTTCTAGAACAAACGTTTATCCTCTCTAGCTTAACCTATGCTAACATAATTCTAAGGGGTTCCATAGATTTAAAATAGTCAAACTAAATTGTGTTCGCGAGTGTAGTTGAAATGTATAATTTATTAATTTTAATAGTTGAGATCATGAGTCAGTTGAAGCTAGACCATCATGGAAAACCTGGGAACAATGAAAGGTCGTTTCGTCCCATTATGGAACTCCTCGGCAGTGCGCATCCACGATCTCACCTCACGATATTCGAACCCAGGATCTATCAATGTCTCGCGTGAGCGCCTAACCTATAGACCACTGGCCTGGCATCCAGCGGTGTTAATGTTTAACTCGAACCAATCCACGATATTGTACGATCGTCCACCATTATCTTCAGTGAGTAACTGCCTCACGCTAGACCTGGTTGAACTCCACTGGTTACTGCTTCTCACTAGAATTCCAGGAATTTTATCTTGAAGCTATTCTCACTCACTGAAGACAATATTAGATGGTGGCTCAATTCCGTGGATTTCCATAATCGTTAGAAATAAACAACACTTTTTTTTTTGTTTTCTTATTTGCTTATGGTTCAGCATTATCAAGCGTTTACATTTTTTAATTTCCTTTTCAGGGTTATCCAGCTCCATTAATTGAATCTAAACTTCAAACAGCTTTAATGAATGATGAATCTGAATTACCAAGATTTTATTGTCGTTCATGTCCAATTGGTTGTTTCAATTGTAAATCTAATACATTATGTCGTTTACAATTAGATTATAATTTACTTAGAGCAATTCCATTAGCTTTTCAAACATTTTGTATTACTATATGTTTATTATTTGGGATAGCTATGTTTAAATTACGTAGAGCCCGAGTAAGTGATCCCAGTAGTATTTATCTCTTTTCGTTAATATGTTTGATCTCTTTTAATCTGTTTAATTTGGTTGAAAAATCACACTGCTGAAATAGATAAGGTGAATGAACTAACTGTTTAGCGTTTTTCTAGCGAGTTGGTTTTTTACAGTATGAGGTCCGGGCTTGGGACCGGCAGTAGCCGCCGGAGGAGCTACATGAGCAGTTCGACACTACGGTGTGCCTGAGGAGATAGTCAATATTAAACGGAATTCCTATGATGGATTAAACTGCCAAATCGTTCATGGAGGACAACTCATCGACTTATTTAAGGTAAAGACCGGTGTAAGGCAAGGTTACTCACTCTCACTCTTTCTCTTTCGCCTGGTCATCGACTGGATCATGAAGACGACAACATCTGGACGGAATCACAGGATACAGTGGACATCTAGGATGCAGCTGGACGATTTAGACTTCGCAGATTACTTGGCTCTTCTATCACAAACGCAACAACATATGCAGGAGAAGACGACCGGTGTAGCATTCGTCTCAGCAGCAGTAGGTCTCAATATAAACAAAGGGGAAAGAAAAACTCTCCTATACAATACAGTTTGCACCAATTGAATTACACGTGACGGAGAAGCTCTGGAGGATGTGGAAACCTTTGCATATCTGGGGAACATCACTGAGGAACACGGTGGATATGATGCAGATGTGAAGGCGAGGATCGGCAAAGTGAGAGCAGCATATTTACAACTGAAGAACATCTGGAACTCAAAACAACTGTCAACCAACACCAGGATCAGAATTTTCAATATGAATGTTAAGACAGTTTTACTGTATGAGGCGGAGACCTGGAGAACTACGAAAGCCATCATCCAGAAGATACAAGTGTTTATTAAAAAAACAGTTGTTTACGCAAGATAATTCGGATCCGTTGGTCAGACACTATCAGCAACAAGCTTTTGTGGGTGAGAACAAACGAGATTCCATCCAGCGGAGGAAGAAATCAGGAAGATTTGGTGGAAGTGGATAGAACACACATTAAGGAAGTCACCTAATTGTGTCACAAGACAAGCCCTCACATGGAATCCTGAAGGTCAAAGGAGGAGAGGAAGACGAAAGGCCACATTGCGCCGAGAAATGGAGGCAGATATGAGAAAAATGAACGAAAATTGGATAGAACCAGAAAGGAAGCAGCAGGACAGAGTGTGTTGGAGAATGCTGGTCGGCGGCTTAGGCTCCATTGGGAGTAACAGGCGTAAGTAAGTAAGTAAGTAAGTAAGTAAGAATGAACTAACTACGATCAATGGCTAATATTTAATGAATCTTGAAGAAAATTTTGCAAACCCTTTGTTTACTATATCTGTATGATTTATTGTAAAAAGTTATAGAGTGATTACGTAAGAATAATGAACTAAAGCTAAATTTAAGCCAAGTCTTTGAATTGTTAGCTTTATTCCTGAGTCAAATTAGTTAAACGACTCATTGAGAAAAAGAACCCTAGCTACTTGACTTCAACCAGTGAATGTGTTAGGAGACTGGAAACTTTCAACAGTTTTCTACTTAAAATTGTGTATTTCAGTTGGAGAAAATGCAAACTAATTATGTAATAGTCATAAATATGAACGTTTATTGTTTTTTTAATGATAAGTCATATCAATGTTGATAAGGAATATGTGGCTCAGAACAACGATTTAACTAAATCGACCTTAGCTACGTGATGTTGTCTAGAAAGGCGCTATGAACCGTTCACGATCAAACCATTCAACTTATAGAAATCTAATTCATCAGAATAATCTTATTCTCTTACTGTTGCTTCCAATCAATTTGATTAGTGGAAAAGTGTTTTTTCCTCTTTATTCAATACTCATAACCTAACCGATGATACGGGATGATGATGAACGGGAGCACAAGTAGGGACAATCGAATGTATTTGAATACAAAATTACAGTTAAATACTTTATTTGTAATATGTTCATTAATTGTCTCAGACTTCATTGTTCCTGTATTTCCAAACCAATTACTGTCTGTTCCCATTTTTTCCTCTTCGATCTTCTCAACTTTCTACTGTCAGACATTCTATTTTTTATTAACGTTATATACTACTTATGTTGACATAAGTAGTACACATCACAGTACATACTACTTATAACTGTCGACGTCAGTAGTGCACAATACAGTACTGTGAGTCACTATTCAAGTTAAGCAAAGTTTTAGCTTACATTTAATCATGACACAAATATTTCTCATTTAATTAAATTTTTGACTATCTATCCATTGACTATTTAATTTCTAGGTAATTAAAAGTGCTAACCTTGTACTTATGGAGATTATGCTTGTAGGCGCGATTCTTCTATACTCAACGGTAAGTTTCATTATTTGTATAGTTATGTTATTCTATTCATATGATTACTGAGTAGGTACACATAGAAGAGTTTTGTAAAGTTATATTCATATGGTAAGCAAAGATGGATAGTGACTAGTAGTGGAATCCAGGATGCGCGTTTCGTTCTATTTGGGCTGAATGTACCTGCATCCAAGAATTGATATTAACTCTGGGACTGGAACTCAGTACCTTTCGCTTCAAACGCCATCGCGTTATCTACCCAGCTACTGAGTCCTGATAGACACTTGCTTGTGCGATGAGGTGAAGTTTAAATTCAACTTAGTATTGTTTGTTTGAATCTTCCCATTGATTTTTAGGAATGCAACTGGTCAATCTCTTATTGGCATATGTGTATACTGTGCGTATTGCTTCGATATAGTCTTAATTCACAAGTAATATAAGAAAAGATGGATAGTGGCTAGTAGTGGAAACATTCAAACAAACAAACAAACAATATTAAGTTGAATTCTTATATTTTTGTTATGACTTACGATAATGGATATACTACATTTATTATTTATCAGGTTTGGGAAATAAAAGTGAATAAGAGAACGAAAGTATTGTTCATAGGCGAGACCATAATTTATGAACGAATCAATCACATTCAGGATAACAGGTCTTAGATTTTGGTGCGAGAATTATCCACTCATTTGGCTAAATACCGTCTCGACATTATAGCTTATGTCAATTAGTGATGAAAACCATATATCTAATTTTTAACCCGAACTATCAACTGTGAATACTGATCCTATTCCTCACACTGGTGTATAACCCTCATTTAACCGTATCATATAGGTGGACATTCTCAAGGTCTTTTCAATGTAGCTGAAAGGTCGTCCACGATTTATAGTCTCACCTTGTTCAGAAATGTATCCTTATTGATTTGGATATAATTTGTTTTTAGTAAAGTAACATTTGTATAATTAAATAATATATTTGAGATTTTCCAAGGGCTATGTAATTAAGTGGGTGAAGATCCATCGAATCGCATTAGGATTTAATGTCATTTTGGATCACAACAGTATCCAACCTTCAGTGATAAGAATAGAATATCTAGTGTCTTATTTTTAGTCCTCACAGCTTGCAGTGGAAGATGTTTGGAATATATACTCTTCTTCTGACTTACAGTAGTTTCAAACTTACTGTGAATAATGAACCACCAGATGTGAATGACTTGATTACGGTTTTTGAAGTTAACCTCTAGAATGGTCACTCTTAGAAGAAAATGGTAGACACAACATATAGTTGTTATTATTGAGATTAACGTTCAGCTAGTGAAAGATCACCTTCGTTCATGATAAAACAGTGAAAAAGGATTACGACTTTCCAGTCTTTCTTCATAGGAGAAACCATGTCACCATTTTGGTTCTCATCCTTTTAATTTGTTGTAGCATATCTGCTTCACGTTTAAAACATAATCTAACTGGTTGTATGTGTTGTTTTAAATTTGGTCTGTTATGTATTCAATTTCAAACTCAGAACCTGTTCTTATCTAGGTTCTGAAAGACTTCATTATTTGACTCCAAGAATCAAAGGTTGTTACGCTCCATTGCTTTGAAGTCCATTGTGGTTCTTTGGTCATAACTTACGGTGACTTCCAGACGTATTGAATCATTAGACTTTGAGGAAGACAATTTTATTAGTTATATAATCCTGCTAATTACTACCGTCCTGACCGATGGAAGTGTCATGCTCTGAAAGAACCTGATATAACCAATCATGATTTTGTAAGGATACAATTGAGCGATGTACCTTACTTACTTACTTACGCCTGTTACCCCTTGTCGAAGAGCATAGGCTGCTTACCAGCATTCTCTATCCAACTCTGTCCTGAGCCTTCCTTTCCAGTTCTTTCCAGTTGCTATTCAGCCTTTTCATATCGGCTTCTATTTCCCGGCGTAGTGAGTTCCTTGGCCTTCCTCTTTTCCGCTTCCCTTCCGGATTCCAAGTTAGGAATTGAGTCGTGATGCACATTGGTGATTTCCTTAATTTATGTATGATCCACTTCCAACGTCTTTTCCTAATTTCCTCTTCAGCTGGAAGCTTCTCTGTCCTCTCCCATAAAACGCTGTTGCTGATAGTATCCGGCCAATGAATGTTGAGTATTTTGCGTAAATAACTGTTTATAAATACTTGTACCTTCCTGATGATGGCCGTAGTAGTTCCCCACGTTTTAGCTCCATACAGTAGGACTGTCTTGACTTTTGTATTAAAGATTCTGACCTTGAAATTGGTTGAGAGTTGTTTTGAGTTCCATATGTTCTTCAATTGTAGAAATGCTGCCCTTGCTTTGCCAATCCTCGCCTTTACATCTGCATCCGATCCTCCTTGTTTATCAACGATGCTCCCAATGTACTTGAATGTTCCAACCTCTTCCAAGGTTTCGCCATCAAGTGTGATTGGGTTGGTGTTCTTCGTGTTGCATTTGAGAATCTTGCTTTTTCCTTTGTGAATGTGGAGGCCTATCGATGCAGAGGCTGCTGCTACATTTAATGTCTTCGTCTGCATTTGTTCGTGTGTATGAGAGAGGTGCGCTAGGTCATCTGCGAAGTCCAAATCATCTAATTGATTCTGAGCTGTCCATTGTATTCCGTATTTCCCTTCAGATGTCGAATTCTTCATAATGCAGTCAATCACTAGAAGGAAGAGGAATGGGGAGAGTAGACAGCCTTGTCCGACTCCGGTCCTTACTGAAAATGCATCTGTCAGCTGTCCTCCATGCACCACTTTGCACTGTAATCCATCGTATGAGTTTTGGATAATGTTGACGATCTTCTGAGGAACTCCATAGTGTCGAAGAAGTTTCCATAATGTTCTCCTGTCCACGCTATCAATCGCCTTCTCGTAGTCAATAAAGTTGACGTATAGTGATGAATTCCACTCAACTGATTGTTCAACGATGATCCGTAGTGTCGCAATCTGGTCTGTGCACGACCGATCCTTACGGAATCCAGCCTGATGATCCTCAAGTTCGGCGTCTACTGCGTCTTTCATCCGATTCAGCAGCACTCTGTTGAAGACTTTCCCTTTCCAGTTGTCCTCCAAAGTAATTTCTTGTTCATTCAGTAGATCCTGTAGAGCCTGGAACCTGTTGTTGAGAGTTATCTTGAATTCATGGAGCTTGTCAATATCTCGAAGGAAGGCTGTATTAAACGTTTGTAGTGCTGTTTGTCCAGTTGTCCAGTGTTTCTTTAGCTTCAGTCTCATCTTGGCCACAACCAGGTGGTGATCTGAAGCCATGTCAGCTCCTCTCCGGGTTCTCACATCTTCCATTGATCTTCGGAATTTTTTGTTGATACAGATGTGTTCTATCCGGTTCTCTGTGGTGTGGTCCGGTGAGATCCATGTAGCTTTGTGTATGCGCTTGTGTGGGATTATTGTGCCGCCTATAACCAATTTGTTGAATGCGCATGGATTTGCAAGTCCCTCCCCATTTTCATTTCTCTCTCCTAATCCATGTCGTCCAATTACATCTTCATATCCTGTGTTGTCCACTCCAACTTTAGCAATTAGATCTCCCATCAGGATGGTCATATCCTCTCGTGAGCACTTCTCTATAATTGATTGCAGCTTTCCATAGAAATGATCTTTATTATCGTCGTTGCTATCATGGGTGGGTGCATAACATTGGATAACGTTCATTGTGATCCCTTTCTTCTTTGTTCTGAATGATGCTTTGATTATCCTGGATCCACGAGATCCCCATCCTATAAGTGCATTTCGTGCTTCTTTGGACAGCATTAGAGCAACTCCCTGAGTGTGTGGAGCATTTTCCCGTTCGTGACCGGAGTACAGCAGCATCTCTCCTGTACCTAGCCTTTGTTGTCCAGTTTGTGTTCAATGGGTTTCGCTGATTCCGAGTATTGCCAAGTTGTATCTCCTCATTTCCATTGCTATTTGGCTGGTCTTTCCTGTCTCCCACATTGTCCGGACGTTCCATGTACCTATAAAGAGTGTTGCTCTGGTTGTTAGAAGGTGCATCGGTCTCGTGACTTCCGAAGAATTTCGGCTTTCATCATGAGACGTCATAATTATTCCTTCAACTCCCAGGACAGAGTTTAAATGGATTGAATTATTTTTTCTGGTTAGCCTTTTTTAGCGAATTAGCTTTTCTACGGGATGGGGTCGCTAACTCCATGCCCAACCCTCCTCCTTTACCCGGGCTTGGGACCGGCAGTAACTCTAGAAGAGCTACAGGAGGAGTTGAGCGATGTACCTCATGAATATAAATTATAACTACGCCATATGTACACAAATAGTTTGAACTAATGGAAACTAGGCTCATTCCTAGTTGCCATGATGATTGTCAAAAGATGAACAATATTTACTTTCTAGGAAATAACATATTGTCATGTGGGAAACTAATCTAAACTAATCTCATGTACTATTTTACTTTCTTTAAATAGATCGTTGTAATGTATTTTCCTGTCAGTGATATATCATGCCTTATTCTTCCATGGTTTCGTGAAGTTGGTTTCTCAGTGATGTATGGTGTATTAATCGTTAAAATCTATAGGTATGTTGTAAAGTATAAATGTAAAGTAAATGATAACCTTCTTTTAACTTCATTTTGTTACGCAACTAGTAGGAACAATAACGGGGCGGACTTGCATGCATATAACAAACAATTCTCTTTGAACCTAGCACACAACAATACTGTCATGGACTGGACAGTGCCTGCAAGTTCGCCCCATTATTGTTCTTACGCAACTAGTGTAAGTAAAGTGATAATTGAAGAAAGCGTTAAAAGTAAATCAATGATTTTATGAAACTTCAAACACTTCACTTCTACCCGAAGTTTGTGCTGATGATGTCGTGTTCAGAAGGACAATGAAAGCTCCACGACCAAACCATCCAGCTTAGAGAACAAAACTCCATCAAAACTTTATGAAGTCCATCATCATAAATTTCAATAAAGCAGGAATACTATTCGCAACAGAATAGTTTCGTTTCTTTTATTTCATGGATTCGCTTCAGCTGACTACAATTCAGAGACAACACTTATATTGATTGTTCAAAACTAAACATTATTTATTATTTATTTATTTATTTAAATACATATATATTGGTACAAAAGGGCACCAGGTACATATGCGCCACACAAAATAATGAAAGTAGCAAGAGAAGGGATGAAAAGATAAGGCGGACTGAAATGTACAACCAGAAGACTCTTTCAGTTAGGAAAGTTAGAACCATTCTTTATGTAGAAAGTAAAAGAAGGTTGCAGCAGGATCGCCACTGGCTTCTATTCTGAGCCATATCTGATAACGTCTCTAGCCACTGTGTTGCACCATCTCTCGGACCCCAACCAGGGAGTCGTGAAGGACCAACGGAAGCTAGCCCTTTGCAGCTTTCTTTCATGCCACGACACCATGTCATACACTGACCTCCTCTCCGCTTTTTCCAACCAGTCCCAGGGTCGGCAAATAATGCACGACGTGGAAGTCTCTGGGACGACATTCGTAAAACATGTTCAAGCCACCGAAGTCGGTGTTTCAAGATGGTGACACCAATTGAATTATCGTCTCGGCGCCCGAACACACGATGCCGAACCTCTGCATTACTAACATGGTGCTGCCACTGGATGTCAGCAATCCTTCGGAGACAACGATGATCGAACACAGATAGTCGTCTAACATCCTCAACTCGGAGAGGCCAGGTTTCACAAGCATAGAGCAAAACAGCTCTCATCGACGCGTTGTAGATCCGACCTTTTACAGCCAGACTAACATCACGAAGGCGCCAAAGATGGCCCAGATTGGCATAAGCCGCTCTGGCTTTCATTATACGTGCATCAATCTCATCACTCACGCCACCACCAGCACTTATATAGCTACCTAGATACACGAACTTCTCAACTACTTCGATCTCCTCACCATCCAGGGTGAGTACAGGATGAGAATCCTGCCAGTCTTGTAGGAGTACTTTGCACTTGGAGGGTGCAAAGCACATTCCGTACCTGCGGACACTGATTGCCAACTGATTAAGTGCTGATTGCATGCCTTGGGCATTATCGCACAGTAAGACAATATCATCCGCATACTCAAGGTCGAGAAGTCGTTCTCCAGGCAACATATCCACACCGCCATTACTTACATCTACCAGAGCTGTTTCCAGGATGTCGTCGATGGCAAAGTTGAAGAGGAATGGTGAGATCGGGCAACCCTGCCTAACTCCACTGCTCGAATGGAACAAGGGAGAAAGGTGGTTGTATGCCCTCACTCTGCCTGAGGTGTTCGTATACAGGGCCTTTAAGATGTTAATGAACTTCTCAGGCACACCCTTCTTCAATAGACAATCCCAGAAAACAGTCCTGTCCAACGAATCGAAGGCCGCCCTGAACAGGTGTACGTTATTTGAGAACATGATTGATTTTGGGGTTAGCACGTAGATTTAAATGAATCAAAAAAACAACATACCGATGACGAGCTCTTCAATGAGTATGTACCAACTTAACTGTTCCTGCAGAACTATTTACGTTGACTCTACACAAAGGGATTCATCTATGCAGGCTCGTGAACATGTACCACGATTGTTAGGAAAGGTATTCACGAAATTTATTGACAGTGTTATCCTTCCTCAATCGATAGACAGAAAGCATCACATTAAAGTAGATTGTATCCTTGGTATTATGTCAAGTTCCAACCACGCGAAATTTTAACTACTCTATATAGCGGAAGCAATGGGAATCAATTTTAGAATTCTTGACTTGTGTATACAATGAGGTATGTTCAATCTCTGCTCTTATTACGGACCAGATCAATTTTATGAATATTCTAGAATGTACTACTGAGAGGTGTTGAGTTACAGGTTTCTACAAATGGAAGATTGATCTAACAGATTTTGTAATAATTAGTACAAAAAAGTACATTAGTATAAATTAGACACTAAGCAAGAAAGAGCTAAACAAAGATGTTACATAACTAGTTGATAAGACTGTAGTCACCATCTGAAAGTAAGTTTAACCATCGTATGTTTTAGGATGCAGGCGCATGGCTGAAGTATTTTTATCGCGATAACTTTTGAAAAGTGCGATAAGTTCAAATTCGTTTACTTATTAACATCCATTATCCAGTAAATGATGATCAATTACACCACTGAAAACATGTCCTTCGTTTAGTCTCAATTTTAGTGGAATATACCTACTTACTTACTTACGCCTGTTATCCCGCATGGAGGAGCATAGGACGCCCACCAGCGTTCTCCATCCAACTCTGTTCTGAGCATTTCTTTCCAGTTCTTTCCAGTTAACATTTATCCTTTTTCATATCTGCTTCTATTTCTCGACGTAATTTGTTCTTTGGCCTTCCACTTATCCGCTTCCCTTCCGGATTCCAAATTAGGGATTGCTTCGTGATGCACATTGGTGATTTCCTTAATGTATGTCCTATCCAATTCCAACGTCTTTTCCTATATACATATACTGTTTTGTTACAATTTCAGTTGTCTTTAATCAACATAACTCGTCTACCAAGTACAAGTTTATGTATCAAACTTTTAACTATATAGTTTCTACTTGGTGTCTAGTAATATAATTCGGTTATCTAGATTGAAGAAAATGGGAGGGGTTTCGAGCTTACAAATAAGTTGTTGCTGATAGTGTCTGGCCAACAAATCGGAAGTATCTTGCGTAAACAACTGTTAATAAACACTTGTATCTTCTGGATAATGGCTTTCGTAGTTCTCCAGGTCTCCGCCTCATACAGTAAAACTGTCTTAACATTCATATTGAAAATTCTGATCCTGGTGTTGGTTGACAGTTGTTTTGAGCTCCAGATGTTCTTCAGTTGTAAATATGCTGCTCTCACTTTGCCGATCCTCGCCCTCACATCTGCATATGATCCATCGTGTTCATCGATGATGCTGCCAAGATAAGTGAAGGTTTCCACATCCTCCAGAGCTTCTCCGTCAAGTGTAAGTTGATTGGTGCATATTGTATTATATCGGAAAGTCTTGCTTTTCCCTTCGTTTATATTAAGACATACTGCTGCTGAGGCTGCTGTTACACTTGTCGTTTTCTCCTGCATTTGTTGTCGTGTTTGTGATAGAAGAGCTAGGTAATCTGCGAAGTCTAGATCATCAAGTTGCATCCTGCCTGTCCACTGTATTCCGTGCTTTCCCCCAGATGTTGTCGTCTTCATGATCCAGTCGATGACTAAGAGAAAGAGAAAGGATGAGAGTAATCAACCTTGCTTAACACCGGTCTTTACTGAGCTTACAACTTACTGTTTGAAAAAAGAATGTTTCACTCATGAAGTGTACATAGTGCTTTCTAATTTTCCATTTATCTAGGGTTCTATCTGGTTTCCAATCTCGTAAAGCTCATCGTGTTCATGTACGTGATAAAGATATATTAAAGTATTTAGGAATGTTTATCCTTATAACATTCACTTATATGATTGCATGGACAGCAATTAATTTAGATTATATTAATAATAGTCCATGGATACAAGATGATAATTCAATGATGAATAATCATCAATCTGTTGTACCAATTGTCAGTATGAAACAAGAAGGTTATATTAAAATTAAAAAAATCAGTAATCAAAGTAATTTGGAACATTTCAATACGAAGGATAATAATGAAACTATTCATTTACATGAAAATCAATTTTCTAAAGATTCAATAGATGAAATGATCACTTTTGAAGTATGTCGTGCAATGTCATGGGATGTTGTTGTTGAATTAGGTAAGTTCCTGAACTGTGTGATATGTCAATGCAACATATTTTGAACAAAAGTTTGGTTTGAATTTTTTTTTTTTCTGGTTAGCGTTTTTTTATAGCGAGTTAGTTTTCTACTGGATGGTGTCGCTAATCTCATGCTTAACTCGTCTTTCTTTATCCGGGATTGAGACCGGCAGTAGCCCCCAAGAGGAGCTACAGTCGGAGTTGAACAAAAGTCTGATCATATATAAACACACTTATAAATGACTTCGAAAACAGATAAATTTCGTTGATCTTCTGAATTTCATAAACAACGTTCTCGGTAGAAGAAGGCAATGAGTAGGACTTCCGTAGCAGTGGTTATATGCATATGAAGAGGGAGAATTGACTTCCTCCAATCTCAGCCGTATCAGAGCATTTGGAGAGATAATAACAATTGATTAGTAGGTTTAAAAAAAACAAACAGAAAAGATTGTAACAACTAAGTAGCGCCTAGAAAAATACAGATCATCTAATAATGATTATATCTTTCTGATAAACTACGGATTTCTGTACTAATTTCAACACATTTATAGAACCTTTTAGGATAAAAAAAAAAGTTATCAATATACTTATAAAACCATCCTTGTTTCCAGTATCCAAACTAATCTTAAGGGTATATCTTCTTTTCATACATCTTACCCTTTGTCTTCTGTTTGGGGTTTAATTAGAAAAGATTCTGGAGGACTAGAGAAAGGTTAGAAAGTCAGTATCGAAAGTTTAAGTATTAGATGTACTGAAATATGTCATATTTTAGCGATCCTATATCTGAATTTAGTTGGATCATATGAATGATTGTTATTGAGGTATACATATCATCAATCCTTGTATATAATTATCGACTTAATCTGCGTTAGTGAATATCGGGATTAAATAAGTCAAATACGAGAATGGATTTTCGAACTTGTATATTTTGTACACTCATTGATTTAAATAAACAATCAGTAGAATGAAGTGAAGAGAAGAGATCGAAGTTAAATGACGTGCAGTTGAGAAGGAGTGTTAGCCAACTCATTTTAATCAAGCATTAATTGGTATTTATAGTCAAATGAAAATAAGTTATACATGTGTGATGAGTACAATAAAAAAATGTACACAATTACGCTTACATTAAAACAGTCAAGGTTGGTAATTGAGTACTTAACAAGGTCAAAATGTGATTTAAGAAGAATGGATAAATTGGCTTATCCGGAAATTAGAATGAGTTATGTGAGCTTGACATAGTAACCTACACTATAACATTAATTGAACTAATAAATATATCAGAATGGGTTTGGTGGAGATTTTAGTATTTTATAGAGTTGAGATCATGAGTCAGTTGAAGCTAGACCACAATGGAAAACCTAGAAGCATTGGACGGCCGTTTCGTCCTATTATGGGACTTCTCAGCAGTGTGCATCCACGATCCCGCTTCTGGAGATTCCAACCCAGGATCCACGGAATTGAGCCACCATCCAATATTGTCTTCAGTGAGTGAGAATAGCTTCAAGATAAAATTCCTGGAGTTCTAGTGAGAAGCAGTAACCAGTGGAGTTCAACCAGGTCTAGCGTGAGGCAGTTACTCACTGAAGATAATGGTGGACGATCGTGCAATATCGTGGATTGGTTCGAGTTAAACATTAACACCGCTGGATGCCAGGCCAGTGGTCTATAGGTTAGGCGCTCACGCGAGACATTGATAGATCCTGGGTTCGAATATCATGGGGTGAGATCGTGGATGCTCACTGCCGAGGAGTTCCATAATAGGACGAAACGACCTTTCATTGTTCCCAGGTTTTCCATGATGGTCTAGCTTCAACTGACTCATGATCTCAACTATTAAAATTAATAAATTATACATTTCAACTATACTCGCGAACACAATTTAGTTTGACTATTTCAAATCTATGGAACCCCTTAGAATTATGTTAGCATAGGTTAAGCCAGAGAGGATAAACGTTTGTTCTAGAAAAAAGTTCACATGAAATCTAATTTCATGGTTAATAAGAAAATTTGCAACATTTTACTGACCACGTATATTTGACTTCAGTTAAATCATATGAATGATTGTTATCAAAGTAAACATGTCACCAATCCTTGTATATAATTATCAATTTAATACGCATTAGTGAATAGAACAGAATCAAATAAATCAAATACAAAAATGAATTCTGAATATGTATAATTCATGTACTCGTTATTGATTTGAACAGGTAATCAAAGAGACGAAACAAAGAGGGAAGAGCAAAGAATATTGGAGATAGAGTGTGTGCCAACTTAATTTAATCAAGCATTAATTGGTATTTATATTCAAATAAAAATAAGTTACACATGTGTGATGAGTACAATAAAAAAATGTACACAATTACGCTTACATTAAAACAGTCAAGGTTGGTAATTGAGTACTTAACAAGGTCAAAATGTGATTTAAGAAGAATGGATAAATTGGCTTATCCGGAAATTAGAATGAGTTATGTGAGCTTGACATAGTAACTGACACTATAATATAGTGTACAGCAACATCCATTAACTTCGAACTTTTTAGCATGCCCTATTTAATAATACCCCTTCGTTCACAAAGTTCAATAACTTATCACATCTTCTAATCACAACGGTTTAGATTAGGCATACATTTGTCACCACGAAATAAACCTCAGTACAATCGAAGTTGATGCGCAATTTCGTAGATTGGTTGAAGTTAGACATTAACACCGTTGAATGCCGGCTGACTCAGTGGTCTATCGGTTAAGTGCTCTGGCATGAGATTAGTATCGTTTTGTTAAATAGTCGAAAATCAAGAATCAGATACTGTGAGGTGAAGTTTATTTAATATTATGACAATGGAATCATTAAAACAATACCCTAGTTACATAAGAAGTAAACATTGAAAGTCTTTTGAACATTATTGGTCGAAATATCTTTTTGAACTAAAGTTTTTCTTGTAATGCCCTGAAGAAGGCAGTTGGATGTTGAGATTAAAACGCCTTCTTTATTTACATTTTTTTCTAGCGGAATTTATTATCTTGGCTATTAGTATACATTATTGTCGTCTTGTACGAACAGCACCATCTGAATATAATGAAACACAGTATATTGGTGTGGCTTTAATTATTGAAATGACAGTATCTGGATTTCTATATTTATTAAGGTAAGTGAACTTTATTTTGTTAATTATAGATATACTACTATATTCGAAATAAGTAGCATACATGTTTTTGAATGGTACAGATTTGAGGCTAAAGTGGGTGATTGAAGTTGAGTTTTGTTTTCTGAGTTGAATGGTTTTGTCGTGGAAGTCTCATTGTTCTTCTGTAAACCATCGTTGACTTTTAACCTTTCATTTGTTATATCTGTATTTCGATTGTATCCACGATTGATTTGATTCTTAGTTCTATATTTGTCCTATATTTCTTATTTTCCGTACGTTAAATAAAGTTTCTATGCTTATTTTGCTCTACTTGTTTAGCGTTCGAGATCCAAGTGCAGGAAAATTTTGGGTCTCTAGGGGGAGACTAGAAAGTCAGTGTAAAGCATTTGATTAGTGAACTTATCAAACTAAAATTTAGAGTTTGAATTAATCGACTTAAGCTCAAAAAATTCACTGGTTTGAATTATTTCGCAGGGTCTCTTGTAATTAACTACTGTGGTGTGAGTTACTTATATCCACATAAGTAATATATAACAATGTTCAGGGATAGAATGCATTTCAGTAGAAGATCGATATGAAGAGAACGGGAATGGAACGCAATTGGTATGAAATTGCATGAACGATAAAGTCAGAGACGATGGACTGATATTTACAGAAGGAACAGTCAAGATTGAGACAATTGATTGATAGTTTGCAAATTGACTGTTTACTGTATGATTATCAAAATTAAGTGAGATAGTCTGTAATTTGTGCTTAAACACATTTCGATTGTCCCCACTCATGTTCTTGTTCAGTACACTATAACTTTTCTTTGATATGAAATGACTCAAGTTTATACTATCAACATAAAATCTTCCCATAGCAAAAGGAACTCACCTTTTGAATGTAGCATGAACCACACAAATTCAGACCAGTAACTTGTTTTTTTGTATTTGAAGAATACCAGTGATACCTCAATATTCCTTGTAGAGGAATAAAAAAAATTCATCGATTTTCAACCATTTATTTTTGCCATCCGATTTCATGTTTCTTCTATTCTTAACGTGTATTTCTAACCATTGCTTATATTGATTGATCACTGGGTAAAGTTGAATATCATGTTTGCCTGGTTCTTTATTGCTCGATGAAGTTCCTATATGGCCACTGGTCAAAGTGCCCTAATGTCTTATGGACTATGCTTACGGTTAAGTGGTTGAAACTAATCGTTGATAGACTCTCAACTTGGGTATTTAACTAGCTGGAACTCATCAGGTTTCCTTCTGACCAATTACATCCGTCTAAGATCAAAATTTTGCTTAATTATTTGCTTTATTGTTGTTTTAATTCAACAGTTGATTGCGCTTATTGAACTGCAATTATCGCAGAATGAAAAGTTCTTGAAACGTACAGTATTTTATCAAGATTTTAAATAACTTAATGAGATAAAATGCTTAATTCAGATTTCCATTTCTTATCACTGTGACAATTGTCTGAAGGCAGGTGATGGCAAGAAATTTAAAATCTTGTACAGTGACTGTTTAACATACCAAGTGAGGTGTAAAGTTTAGTCTAATGGGCTTTACTTTGTTACGCGAAATGTGCTACTTATGAGTAGTCAGTCGATGTTGTTAAAAAAATGTGAAAAGATATGATGAATCGAGACAATAAAGAATAAATAATATGATCTTAATAGAAATGATATTGAACTACTGAGGAGTTCAATACTATGACGAAATGGCCGTCTAGTGCTTCCAGGTTTTCAATGGTGATCTAACATCAATCAATTTATGATCTCAATCAAAGAAAAAAACTTTATAATCTCCATAACTCCCATACTGATGATAGTGAACTACTTTACTCAAAGTGAATCCGAAATAAATCTTAATCAACAACTCTACTAGTAGTAGGACCCTGAAGACATCCAGACAGGTCTACTGGACGAAACGTTGGAATCATTTAAATTTTAATCGCCTAGATAATTTTCGCATGTAATGACTTCTCTAAACTCGGCGACCAATTTTCGTCAAACTATTCTTTCTAATAGTGACGAATATTCATATAAACTACTTCAATAAGTTTGTCTTTGTAGATATCACAATAAAATGAAACCAAAATTTTGTATGCAACCAAACGTCTTTAGTACAGTAAGCAACCTGTAAGTTCAAGAGAATAAGTTTCCGATTAGGTCAGACCTTATAAACTATTTAATGCTTAGTATATCTGCTGGATACTATATAGTAGAGATTTCCACTTTTGTTCCCGTGTATGAATTCTAATTAACGTAAATATCGTTCCGATAGAAGAGAAAAGATGAGTATGGAGTGGATAGTTTGTGATTAGCAAAAGTAACACTTGTCAATTTTTTGCAAGATTTTAAATAACTGTCAACATTCATATTTATAGCAATGATAAAAGATTCACAATTTGATTTACTGATTATTTACAATTCTCTATACAATACGACGAAATCTTCTCTTAAAAGTCTATGAAAAAAGGGGAAATAGGATGTTATATATGTCGTAATGAACCATTTGAGCTGTATTGGCTGGAACATTCGTTCTTCACGGTCCTATCATGCTAGACAGGTCGATTGAAGAGCGGTAAGACTAAAAGCAGCAAACCCAAGGTCCTGGGGCGAAGTCGTACTGCTGACTGTACAAAGGTGTGACGGCAGTAAGGTGTCTCCTTCAGACAATCAGCATAACAGTAATGCTACTTTCACACAAGGAGGGGTAGGGTTAGAAAAGGTCAACTTATCCCACGGATATCCGTCTCCGGTGGTAAGGTCCCAACAAGTACGGAGCTAACACAAAAAGGTCGTGTGTGACCGACCTCAAGCAGTTGTTCTTAGGGCACTTCGGTCACGCTATCGGGTCACTAAGACCACCTCTGACACAATTTCTTTTTCAGGTACCTCCAGAAGAACCCTTCCACGGTGTGGGCAACCGAGAAGTGATAACTGCCCTCATACTTATAACAGCACTGATGTAAACCATAAAATATTATCGAATCATTAAAGTCAACTAGAAAATTTTATTATATTTGTCATCTTCCTGTTTATTTACTTTTATATTGTAGACATTTCATTTGGTACAATGTTCATCCTGATTATATATTTCTGTTATATTTTGTACGATCTCATATAACTGTAACAGTGAATCTTTTATTGATTTTTGTACCAAAGGTATGTTATTTATTGAATTAATTTTTAATTGTTTTATATACAGTCTACCTCCATACTTGCTTACTTACTTACGTCTGTTATCCCTCGTGGGGGAGCATAGACCGACCATCAGCATTCTCCACCTAACTCTGTACTGAACAATCCTTCCCAGTTATTTGCAGTTGCTATTCATCCTTTCGATTCCTGATACAGTGTGTTATTTGATCATCCACTTTTCCGTTTTCATTCATGATTTCAAGTTAGTGTTTGCTTCGTGATACAGTTTGATGATTTCCTTAATGTATGTCCGATCCACTTTGAACGTCTTTTCTTAATTTCCTCTTCAGATGGAAGCTGATTTGTTCTTTTTCACAGTAGGCTGTCGCTGATGGTATCGGGACAATGGATATAGAGTATCTTACGTAGACAATTGTTTATAAATACTTGGACGTGTTTGATAAAGGTTGTAGTAGTTTTCTAAGTCTCAGCTCAATACAGTAGAAGTGTTTCGACGTTCGTATTGAAGATGTAACTTTGATATTGGTTGAAAGTTATTTTGAGTTCCATATGTTGTTCAACTATAGAAATGCTTCCCTTGTTTTGCCAATCGTTGCCTTTAAATCTGAATCAGATGTAAATGTAGATCACACGGATTAATTACTTAAATCACCAGTAATAATCACAGCTCTGTCTAAGAGATATTACCCGTAGCAATGGATAATAATTACTCAATATCATGAACTAAATTGAGATAAAAAATTGTGAATCAGTAGATGTCAACTCAGTGATTTATCTGTAATACACTAATCCTAGGTTCATTTCTTGGCGAAAAGTTGCTGATGCACCTCAACGAAGAGTCTCATCCTAGGACGAAATGGATATTCTTTGACCTTTGATTACCTAATGGTTATCTAGCCAAATTCACTCCTTGATATTAACTACAGGAATATAATTAAGTAATGACAAATTATGGATAGATGATATTGGATTAAAGCCTAGTTTTATTGCCATTGTAACTTCTCATTGATAGGTCCGGCAATAATGATCATGTCACAATATATGAAAGCGTTCGGTTCTTTCGTTAAAAATTTCAATGATCATCGCTTGTGAAAAAAACTCTTCAGTGATGCCAGGTTACGAAAAAAAAACTGCCTTATTTTTTATAGCTACTGACTATGGAATGCTGTCCTATCTTTTGTTACTCGATTAGTATCAGTAATGTTTCCCAAAGTAAACTGTTACTGAAAGCTATTCGCTAAGATATGTTTACTTGGTTTTTAAATTAGCTTCCTTTTAATGAATGTTCCTTGGAATTATTATTTGAATTTCGTGTTACCATACACTAATTTTTCTTTTCTTTTTCAATCTCATTTACTTTCATTCAAATTTAGGTAACCTTTTTATGTCGTTCATCAAAATCTTTATATAATACTGCTCGCCAACGTGGTTCACCTGGAGTCGTTTATCCTGGTGATCCACATTTACCTAGTGGTGGAAAATTGAATTTAGTATCAAATGGTGATCTAGATATTGCTGATGTGAATTTAGCTGATATGGATCCTGAAGTAATAAGGGTTAGTTAAGTTTCATTTTAATAAAAAGTGATTCCTATTTTGTAATACTGAAAAACGAAAGAGTTATACTTATGAAGATCATTTATAAAGGTGAAGTTTTATAATAACTGAAATAAAGTTTTACATCATTTTTAACCAAATTCTACACCATTGTGTGGTCACTTAGATCGATAAATGCAAGTGCCACATTTTGTGTTGTTCATGATTGATTGACCGATGAGGCTGGAAGTTCATAAGTGTGATCCGTGGTTAGAAGTGTGCACTGGGTTCTGTAGCTGATAAAAGCTTTCTTCAATCTAAAATAAGGTTTTTAACGGTTGAATTCATGAGTCGATTTAAGCTAGATCACCGTTGCAAACCTGGAAGCACTAGATGGCTCCAGTATGGGACTCCTCAGAAGTGCGCACCAACGCTTCCTCAGGTGGGGCTGGGACCTAGGACCTTGTGATTCAAACGCGAACGCTTGACCCCACGAGCAATGAGACAGCCATCCAGTTCTTCCAGGTTTTCAATGGAGGTCCAGCTTAGATCGATTTGTGGATTCCACTGTTAAATTCTACAATCTCGACAAGTTTTTATACTAACGAAATAAAATTGTTAGGGTAAATAAGAACGTTCATATATATGGAATACAGGGAATTGATCGCAATTCGTTGCTATTCCCTTTAGGTTAAGGGTTACCATTTTTCTAAAGATCTATTTGATGTCATAAATTTCCTTGCTTATACTTATTTTCATTCACCAATTATGTCTACTAGCCTTGTGTACTATTACACTTTAATTTGATATTTGCAACTTGTTTGGAATGTGATTATTGAGAAGCTCAGAAAGTACCATCACCGAGTCCGTAGATTTTCCTTCCCCTTTGTTCTTTGAATGAAACTAGAGGTGATTGTTACAGAACTGATAAGTCAAGTATATTCGATTTTGGAATCTTCATGAGAACATCAATCTATGGTACATTCATTTAAGAAGTCTGTAACAGTATATAATCAGATAATATTGAAAATAACAATGAAAGCTCCAAGACCAAACTCATTCATTCAGTCAGTCAGTCACAACGTAGAACTTCGTACGTACGTACGTACATCAGTGCAAACAAGACCAAACTATTCAACTCAGAGAACAAAACTCTGTCAAAAACTGAACATGACTTCATACTACTTTAACAGTAGATATGATCAATATTTTCAAGGTCAACTTGACTTAGGAATTTCTCTTCTTCTTTTTTTGTTTTAGCGTGAACTAAAACGTCTTTATACACAAATTGAATTGTATAAAACTAAAGCAATGCGAAAAGATAATCCACATATAAGTAAACGTAGAGGAGGACGAAAACAACGTAGGTAAGTAAAGTAAACCTTATGAAAGTAACTAGTTTATTTCATTGATAAATAGTTAAATACTATAGGAATTTATAGTTTATAACTTATGTTGATTGTATTACATTAACCGGATTGGTGGACATGGAGGGTCCATCTAGTGGAGTAGGAAAATCCTAGTTTCAAACCAATGATACAAATGGCATCCAGTATCCTGAAGGAACAAATGATCATGGGACTGCATCTCCTTGCGTTGCTCCGGGTGTGTTCCCTTAAGAAAACCACCTCCTTCGGTTTGGGTAGCTGGTCAGTATTCCACCCCGCACACGAATCAAATGATTTATATGACGCATATCTATATAAATAAATTTAATCATTCAACGAAATATAAGTCAATGATTTAACCTCACCAACTAAAAACATCGTTATGAACAAACTGACATTTGATTACATATTCTTATACTTCTTATAGTAAACCATTGTAGTTACCTGTTTTTAAATATTGATTGTTTATGAAGAAATGTTAAGTAAGACTATATCAGGAGGACGTAAACCCATCGCTAAAGTCTTAAAACATGTCAGTAATAACAAGTTTAGAAATCAAATATCAAAACACAACAAATAATGAATGAATGTAGACCATCAGAGAAAAGCTTGATGCATTGGACGTCCGTTTCGTCCTAGCATGGGATTCATCAGCAGTGCACATCCACGACCTCGCCTCGCGAGATTCGATTCCAGGACCTACCAGTCTCGCACCAGAGCACTTAACCGAGCCGGCATCCCACAATAGGATAAAACGGCCGTCCAGTGCTTCCAGGTTTTCCCTAGTGGTCTAGCTTCAATTGACTCAATTTTCAATCATGAAAATACTAAATCTCCACAAAACCCCTTCTAACAAAGAATGAATGATAAATTAAAATTCAAAAGAGAACATTAAATTAAGAGAGAATGAAAGTAGTATAGTTGACATTAATCCATATATTCTTTTATATAATCAGATTAAGTTTAGAATTTCTCTTAACTCATATACCAGTTTCAAGTTCTTGCCCTTAGCTTTGGGTTATATACTTAGGGTGAGAGTTAGTTTTTACTACCCTGATTGAGCGAATCAAAGTGGGTATGGTATTGAAATCTTACACTTGCCGGTTAATGGCTGAACGCTTTAACTAATGACTCACCGTTTAAATTACATTCTATATGTAAATTCTCTTACGTTTAGAATAAATGAAATGCATGATTTTTTATATACATTTTTATGGAGATTATCTTATCAGAAAGGGGTTTTGTGAAGATTTAGTGTTTTCATAGTTGAAAGCTTGAGGAGTCCCATAACGGACGAAACGGCCGCCCGGTGTTTCCAGGTTTTCTATGGTGGTCTAGCTTCAATTGACTCACGCTTTCAACTATGAAGATTATTTTATCTTATTCATCATACTACTTACAAGTAATTAAGTAGTTCATTTCGATCATTAAAAATTACTTGGCATCAGATCACTGGCATATAAGTTCAAATATGCAACGCATGCTCAACTTGAAACCAGTTTACAATATAAATAATTGTTGAATATAAGGAAGTATTGTCAAATGTATGCTCTCAGTGTATGAAGTTTTATAATACACAACGGCAACTTACGTATTTTTTGACATTTAAGAATTCATAAAGTGGATACCAATAAGATACATTACAATTTACCAACTTCATAAGTACAAAAAATTGATATATTTTTTACTTACACATAAGAATGATTGATATTTCAGTAAAAGTTAAGCTTTTGCAGTTGAAATCATGAATCAATTGAAGCTGGACCATAATGGAAAACCTGGAAGCACTGGACGGCCGTTTCGTTCTATTGTGAGACTCCTCATCAGTGCGCATCCACGATTCCGCCTAGCGAGATTTGAATCCAGGACCTATCAGTCTCGAGAGCGAGATCTTAACCACTAGAGCATTCGATTTTATTTGTTCTGAGTCCTACAGTGACTTAATCATTTTTCATTTCGAGTGAACCATTAAAGTCTATGAACCAGTGTTTATTACGAATAGATAAACAATATACAAGATACTAGCGTTAGCTTCTAATGTTATGACTATTATATTGGTAATGAATGATAAATTCCGTGTGGGTAATCAAAGACTCATCGCTCATGGTTAGTCGGATCAGCAAACTCGTAAATAGTGGAGGTTGAAAACAAAAAGTTGAAATAGTGTTAGTGTGAACATCATATTTAGTTGAGTTTCTTTCTAACTGTTAAGAATAGTCCTATTAAAATTATCCCATACATCATTAGAGTGTCTCCGAAACATGATTATCTCTTCTCATATCCAGAAAAGTGTACTACAAGCATTGATTACACTAAAAATTTGTTAGCTATTTCTATTGAGTTTGTTTCTATCATGAGTTATTTATGAAAGCTGTTGCAGAAGCTGGGCATGGAATGTGCCACATATTCAATCATACTGATCATCAACATAAAGTCTGATAAAGATGTATGTCGTATCAAGCGTTCATACGACATTAGGACAAGGAGATGAAATTAATAAAATGAATAGCGAACAAATTAAAACAATTCATTTTTGTATTGGTTGTTTGGATCTTCCCATTGATGTTTAAGACTGCATTTGATCAATTTCTTATTGGGATATTTGGATCCTGTGTAGATTGCCTCTATATTAACTTAAGTATTATAAGTAGAGATGCTTGTGATTTAAGGCAATATAGAGGCAATCCGCACAGGAATGTCCATATGCCAATAACAGACTGGTCAATTATAGTCCTAAACATCAATAGTAAGATTCAAACAATCAATGCAAAAATCAATAACTTCACCCCATTACGGAAGCTAGTGGCTATCTGGACTCAGTAGCTAAGTGGATAATGCGATGATATTTAAAGCGAACGGTACTGGGTTCGAATTCCATAGTGAACATCAACTTTGAGATGTAGGTGAATCTGTGGTATGTTGACAGAAGTAGTATATAACAACAATCAAATGTGGAATGCCTCGAGGTTGGGAAGATTAAATCTAGGAGAACAGGAACAGAAAGTAATTGTTGCAGCCAATGTTACTGATGCTTTTGTTATACACTTGGCGGCAATTATTATAATATGCCTTAGTCTCAATCTGAATCCAGCGATAAAGGTTCCTATCCTAGCAAACGTCTTCTTTCAACATATATTACATCGAAGAACAACATCACGGTAGTCTGCACAAAGTCTAAAAGTCATTTAATACTCGTAATTACAAATACAAGAACTTCTTAGTAGTTTCATATTTGGTAGCCGCTTAACTGTCAAATCTTCTCTAAAATCCTCTGTGAACCAATCGTACATGAGCATCAAGTAATGAAATAGGCGCCGTGACCTTGAAATCCCCCAAACGCTTCTGATTGGCTCGTCCATAAATTATAGTCTCGCCGATGAAAACGTTTTGATAAACGATCACTAAAAATAGTAATCTACAGTATACTCAATTAATGATCTTCTCATGTAAAACCATTTTCAATGATTAAAATCCAACTTCATAATGTCCTTTTTTTTTTGTTTAGATTCTCATTGCAACCATTTCATAAACGACATCATGGACAAACTTCATCTAGTATAAGTGGTAATGTTATACCAACTGATACAGGATGTTGTTGTACAGAATGTCAATCATCAAAATTTACTGTACGTTTATGTCCACATTATTGTAGTCGTCATATAAGTAGTAGTAGTAGTACAAGTCATAAACTATCAACGAATGATGGAAGTGGAAATGGATCAAATCGTGGAAATTATTCAACCATTTTACATGATGAAGAAATTTCTAAACTTTCCGAAGAATCCACCAATAGTGGTGTAGATGATCAATTATCTGTGAATAATTTAGTACCAATTCAACAACAATCACAGAACAAGTTGTGTAGTTCCATGAATTCAGATGACAAACAAATAAAACCGTTGTCAACAGGAAATAGAAGTGATAGTAAACGTTCCAAATGTAAATCAACTGATGATAAGACAAGATGAAGTTAGTTGATTTAGAATTTTTATTTTCCAATATATCTTATTATTAGTTTATTAGAATACTACAGATTAGGACATTGAATAGCTTCACTAGTTGGGTGTAAGGCAGTCACCCGCCGAATACAATGGAAGATGGTCGCTCAATATCAAGGATTGTTTGAAGTTATACAGTAACACGGTTGGCTCAATGCCCTGGTACGGCCGAGAGACAGGAGGGCCCACCCTCTCTCACTCGAAAAGCTCTCACACGACTACGCGTATACAGCTTCTATCAGGGAAGTCCTACTCACTTCTTTCTCGTAGCGGGTGTGTTGTTTAGGAAACTGAGAGGAAGAAAAACGAATGTCCGGCGCTTTCACCGAATCGGTGGACACGGAAAGTTCACCTAGGGGAGTTGGAAAACCCTGGTTCCAAACTTATGGTGCACATGGAATCCAGTATTCTGAGGGAACAAATGGCGTATGAATCAATCTTTGGTCACCGGCAACCATGGGACTGTATCTACTTACGTTGCTTTACTGCCTTGTGGATTAGGCCTTTAGGTCAAAGGCTCCTGATGTGGCATACTAAAAAGCCACCTGATTCTGATTGGTCACCTGGTCAGTATCATAGCTTTCACACAATTAAATGAAATGACATTTTTTGTGTGGCACATATATATCTGGTACCACCTTGTATCAATATTTATGTGTTCAAATAAATAAATAACTAAATATTACTAGTTAAACGTTCGTGCGGGACACAAAGTCCTGGGTCCGAATCTCACATATGGCATCGTGGTCGTGCACTGCCTAATAGTCCCATACTTGGATGAAATGGCCGTCCACACAGGTTTTATCAATAATTTTCATGAATGAATTTAGTGTTTAAAAAGTGCCTGACCAATTATAAATATCATTTGTATTTAGTCAACTTTATAATGAATTTTATCTTGAATAGTTAAATTTGTTTCATTTGATGATGTTAGGAGTTACTTACTTTCGTCTGTTACTCCCAACTGAGCATAGGCCGCCGACCAGCATTCTCAAAGTTTTTCTGTCCTGCCACTTCCTTTCTAGTTCTATCCAGTTTTTGTTCATTCTTCTCATATCTTTCTCCATTTCTCGGCGTAATGTGTTCTTCGGTCTTCCTCTTCTCCTTTGACACTCAGGATTCCATGCGAGGGCTTGTCTTGTGACGCAATTGGGTGATTTCCCCAAGGTGTACCCAATCCACTTCCAGCGCTTCTTCCTGATTTCTTACTTCACTGGATGGAAACTGGTTTTTGTCTCCCACAGTAGCTTGATGCTGATAATGTCTGGCCATCGGATCCGAAGTATCTTGAATAGACAGCTGTTAATAAACACTTGAATCTTCTGGATGATGGCTTCCGTACTCCTCCACGTCTCCGCCCCACACAATAGAACTGTCTTGACATTTGTATTGAAAATTGTGATCTTGGTGCTGGTTGACAATTATTTTTGAGTTCCAGATGTGATGTTAGGAGTAGTTTCAATAATTGGTATTCAGCACTAGTAGATTGGTTACAATGTAGTAAGTCAAAGGAACTTCACAAAGGAACTATAGAATATAGAATGATCTTAATCAATATAGAAAGTTTTTATTCTGTTCATTTACATAAAGTCGTTTAAGTGCTCGGGCGCGAGACTGGTAGGTCCTGGGTTTGAATCTCGCGAGGCGGGATCGCGAATGCACACTGCTGAGGAGTCCCATAATAAAAAGAAACGGCTGTCCAGTGTTTCAAGGTTTTCCATGGTAGTCTAGCTTCAATTGACTCATGATTTCAACTATGCAAATATTGAAATCTCCACAAAATCCCTTCTGATCTAGTTTTTAATTATTCTCAACAGTATATATTTGTTTGTCATCATGGTTAGTACGTTTTTGTTCTTTCGACTATAAGTTTATCTATTCAAATTTACATTTCATGTTATACAATTAAAGATGTGGTGTGTGCTACTGGTGTCAATAAATTTAAGTTGTATGTATCATCAATCGATTGGGAAATACCTGGCAGCAGACGGTTAAGAAGATCGAAGAAAGAAGAACAAGAACAGAGAATGATTAGTGTGGAAATGAAGGAATATTAACGTTTGAGGCAATTGATTGACATTTTGCAAATGAACTATTCACTGTATGGTTCTCAGATTTTACTAAAACATTCTGTAATTTTGTATTAAAATACATCCGACTGACCGTATTTGTGTTATCGTTCACTACAAGGCTATTAGCATAAATTACCCTTTCAGTACAGTTATTAATAAGATTAATTTTATCTAGATTGTCATCAGCTGTAATGTTATTAGAAAAAAAACATAGGATACCGTAAACTTTTGTACTTATACATTGGAACAAATTAGCGGTTGTTGAGTCGGTTTCCGAGAACTACAGCGGAGCCTCCAGATGCCCTAAGGGAGTCGAAGAATTCCTATCCGATCAGAACATGATAGAGCTTTCTAGAATATCAACATGGAATGCTACTATTAGACAGTAGTATAATATGTCTCTGCGGATTATTCAAATCATAATGTTGATTTAACAATTGCTGATATCCGTGATTTTCTGTACATTTCGATCCTTACCAAATAAACACTTCTCCAGCTTTTTCTCCTATCTCCTGATTTGGGGCGGTGAAGTTCCATCGTTCGAGTATCATAGTCGTAAAACTGTATTCTGCTTTAATGAAGTAGCGAATCTAACTGCAGTAAGCAATGATGAACTGGAATCTTGAACTTCAACATCTGATTTGAGCAAAATATCATCATGTCACTTAGTAAAAAATCTTCAGAAAACTGTCAAAACTATTATCATTATTGTTGCTATGGTTACATGTTGGTGTAGAGTTCAATATTAGGAAGAAGAGATAAATATTTAATGTATTCTAATTTTAAATGATTTACCGACTAACTTTAACAAGTAGAATAAAATACATTCAAAATACGAATAATCTTCCACATTATCATGCTAAAGTATTATACTTATTTGAATTCGCTTAGTATGGTTTGTTTTGAATCTTCTCATTGATGTGTTAGGACTGCAACTGGTCAGTGTCTAATTGGCATATGTTCATACTGTGCGTATTGCCTCAATATAGTCATAATTTAAAAGCATTGTAAGCATAGATGGATAGTGGCTAGTAGTGGAATCCAGAACGCGTGTTTCGTCCTATTTGGAACTCGTCAGCTGGATGCGCCTGCATCTCAGAGTTGATGTTCACCCTTGGACTCGAACCCAGTACCCTTACTTCAAACGCCATCGCGTTATTCACTCGACCACTGAGCCCCGATAGCCACTTGCTTGTGCAGTGGGGTGACGTTTAAATTCATTTAGTATTGTCTATTTGAATCTTATCATTGATGTTTAGGACTGCAACTGGTTAGTCTCTTATTGACCATATGTGCATACTGTTTATATTGCCTCAATATAGCCTTAATTCACAAACATTATAAGCAAAGATAGACGAAACGCGCGCCCTCGATTCCACTGCTAGCCATTATCCATCTTTGCTTATATTATTTATTTATTAATTAAACTGTATTTGAATTTATGAGGCTTCATGATGTTGTTTAAGAGAGGGATGAAGACTTAATCATTAAACTATCTTACTAAGAGTTACCAATGATTGAGAGTGTAGTGAACAGAACACTAGTTGGAGACAATCGAATGTAATTAGACACAAATTACAGACTATTCCACTTAATTCTGATAACCATACAACCAACAGTTAATTTGTAAAATAACAATTAATTGTCTCAATATTCACTGTTTCTTCTGTAAATATCAGTCCATCTTCTCTAATTTCATTGTTCATGCATTTTCCTACCAATTTCGCTTCATTTCAATTCTTTCCTTATTGGTATTTTGCCAAAATACATTCTATATTTGACCATCGGACCATATACTACTTATATGGATATAAGTAGACCACATTACAAGAGTATCCATCGCAGTTATTAGATCTCTTGAATCATTTCAAACTTTTTTGGACAAGTTTATTGTGCTTCTTTTTTCTTTTCTTTTCTCTTTTTTTTGTTACATAGATCCTACTTTCAATAATCAACTATTAACCTGTGATGAAAAAACAAAACCTAAACAAATACATTCAGGCAGTTGAAAGTATACAAAATGACAATGGGTCATACTTCATAAACCTCTACTCTATCTATGTATGTATGTTTGTATATAAGTGTGTGTGTGTTTTTCCTCGTATATGTGCTAATATATATGTACTTTTAATAAAAATAATAATAATCAGATATTTCATTGTTGTTTATTACAATGACTTTCTTCCTCTACTTCATTCAGTCTTAAATTAAACCAAATTTACCCCACCCCGCCCTCCACTTTGTTTTTTTTTTTTTTGGTTTTTATTTCATATTTCTATGTGCATTTAATGTGATTAATTTTTGTGTATTTTGTTGTGTCCAAAAATATTCCCGAGTGGATTTAAATTTGTTATTTTTTAATTTATCTTTTTAATTAAATAATTAATCAATGAATCAATGAAATTGAATGAAATTGTTGCCATGGCAACAAATTATAACTATAATGAATTATTTAATATTTGAATACATTTCAATGATTTCATGCATTGTCATTGTTATTCAAGGGGTTACAACTTTGTTTGATCTCAGTATATATACAGTAACACAATGGATATATATATATATATGTAAACACTAGAAATTAAAAATGCTAACCTTCGAACTGAAAAAAAAGAAAAAAAGGAGAAAAAAGAAAAACAAAAAAGAAAAAATGACAATTTTGTAAATGATTGTGTTTTAGTCTTTTCTGTATTGCTTTTCTTTCTTTTTTCTTTTTAATTCTTACTTTTTAATGAATCACCTCTTCTCAAATCATTGAAATAACCCATTATGCTATGGAATAAGATATTTCAGTCTTGAATCCCTTAAGTGATGTCATTTTTCCAATCCTCCTTTACCATAGTAACTATAATTTTGAATGTACAGTTTAAGTGAATGATTTGGTCGAAGAAGAAGAAGATTTCTGCTTCTTTATTGGATTCACTTTATTCTTATTCAATGAATCAATTTTGTTTGAAACCATGGTTACTATATCGAAACATTACGTAATTGAAAATGAAATCTAATTAAAGTTTGAAATGTATAAGTTTAATATATTTGCAATAAAATGAGAATTGTTATAGTGTAAAGTGTTTTGTATTTCTCTTTAAACAAATGGGAATCTCATTTATCTTACATGAATATCTACATTAGATACCTTCTTAGTTTCTATTTTATAGAACTTCAACTCAAATCAAGAATATGTGATTGATCTCATTGGAACGTAAGTAAATTTACATGCAAACGACTGAAAACAATAATAATAAGGATATGCAAGTATATAGAACGTCATAATGCTGGTGTAGCAACAGTAACTGCCTCGTCATCAGTAG